AACAACTTGATCGACCTAGGACTTATTCTAGCTCTTGTACTTACTGAGATCCTTGCGCGCATACAGACAGACAGGCGGGCAGACGAACATGGCTATATCGACTCGTCTTGTTATACTGATGAATAACATATATACTTTGTGCGTTCTGCCACGCCTATATTCGCACTAAAGAAAATACAATTTTTTATCGATTTCAAGCAAAGTTTCAATCAAGTATGTAAATACTTTTATAATTGAGTTTAAGCTGATTTCGGTCATTTTTTCTCTGTGTATTACACAAACCATCAAACTGCCAACTGTTCAACCAAAGAGTTCAACTAAAAGAGACTTCGACTTCCCCATGGCGATACTAACAAGAAGTGACAAATTGATGGTGTTAAAGCTCATTAACTTATTTAATGCAGCTATGTGTACCAGATATACCATAGCACTAACTACTTAAGCTTTATGCTCGCAAAACCCCAAAAACCTCAAAATAAGGCGCGCCAATTATCGACATGACAAATTCGTTATCATTTATTTCGGTAACTTGCTGCTGGAGACCGACAAAGAGCGCTCTACAAAGTATGCAGAGGGCGACGTATCAATGCCCGAGCATAGCCCATAATAATACATGTTAATAATGCTCAGAGAAGCTGTCCATAAATTGACAAAGACATGCGAGGCGACGGCCACTGGTCCTGGTCCTGCTTCTGCTTCTGCTCCTGCTCCTGCTGCGGTTTCAACCTGCAACTGCGGTTGTGAATCGATGATCTTGCTAAAAGCGGCCTGGGGTTGCACGTAAGCTGTGTCGAACTCTCCACCGGCCAGCCATTCATGAATTCAAACTAATTGTATTAGCAAGCAGTTGCATTTTGGCTCAAGATGATGCTGATGCTGGAACGGACTCCACATCGAATCTGTGCAGCTGCATGCAGGTGGCAGCGAATAAGAGAACGGACCCTCGGACAACCGGACAGTCGTCGGTCGGCTTAGTTCAGATGCACAAAGACCAACATAAAGCTCGACAGGAAGAAGTTGCAACCGAAATCGGACCGCATCTTTTGTTATTTGGTGTCGTGGTGAGTCGGGGCTAAACAATTTGTGTAATTGACAAATTGACGGCTGTGCTTTGTGCGGAAGCGCTCGTAGCCGTAAATTGTCGCCAACAAGGAGCTACTTGTAAATATTGCACATTAATACATATGTATTTGTTCATAGTATTAGTATATTAATACTTGTACATACATACATAGTATATATACGAGTTAAAATATTCTATATGCTATGTATATATTTGTCGGCCATGAATGTATGTAGCTGGTAGCTACCAAGGCTCGCGTTGTCGATCATTAAATTAAGTCATTAACTATTTAGGCAAGGCGGCCAGTCGCGCACAAATCTTTTATTCGCAATGCAGGGTCTTCACCGTTTGGCGACGCCCAAAAATGCTTTCAAAAAACAAATAACAACAGCCCAGGAACAGGAACAGCGTGGCGCTTCGCAAACAGCGACATAATTCCCATAGTCTGCGGTAAATGAGAGGCGCAAAATTCGTTACCAATCAAGAGCAACAGCAAAGACCGTTCTCTCGACAAATTGGCTTCGTATCTTCTGAATGATTGAATGCGTCGATGATGGGACAGGGTACGAGAAGTGCTTTGCTTTCTGCTGCTGCTGCTGCTGCTTCTGCTGTTGATGTGGCTTCAAACAGTTATGAATTGGCCGCCTGCGCTGAGCCTTAAAACAGCTTAGCCCCTTTGTCGGTTATCCGCCGAAGATCATCGATGGATGTTGCCTTCAATGCGCGTTTGTCGAAGTCTCAGCTTAAACGGTATGATGTTGTGAAACTTTAGTTTTTGTCCTTTTTTATTTTGGCTCATCGTCGGATTTCGGAGCGGTGTTGTTGTTATTATTGTTGCATGCGACTGCTGAAAGCAGATCATCCCAACACTTAACTTAATTTGGCAGCCACACTCTGGCGCGCCGTGGCGTGTAATTATTGGCACAATACTGCTCTGACCTTTTTTTCAGGTATTGGGATCTTTGTTGAGCATGTGTCGCGTATTTGTTTTGGCAAGTAATTTCGAGCGAACTGTCTTCAAATTGATCGCAAAGCGCTAAATCGATCACCTTGCCCATATAATAAAGGTTAATCCAAAAAGTGCGAGTCTCCGTGAGAATTGATACACTGAGATAAATATTGCGCCTGAGATGCAGATGCTTGGAAGTAGTGGACTTCCATGAAAGAGACTTCTAGCAATCAAACTGTTCTATATTGTGTTTTAATAAGCTATATAAATACGTAGGCCAACTTGAAAAATGGAGCCCAAATGGAACCTGCTTAACAAATAATAATTACAAATTAGACTAAGGTACTAATTCGAAACCAAATTATTCACTTTTTATACGTTGTACCCATAGGGTAAAAAGGGTATATTAGGTTTGTGCAAGGTATGTAACAGGCAGAAGGAAGCATCTCCGACCCCATAGTGTATAAATAACAGAGTAATTCACTTTCACGCGTGTATGTAAGCAGCACAACGTTGAGCCAAAGCAGCAACAACAGCAACAGCTGCGGGCAGCGCTGCCGACAGAGCTGCAGGCGGCGCATGAGCAGCGATTTTTCTTATGGCTATAACTTTCTTCAGAATTGACCTATCATGATGAAATTTGGCACACGGACACATTAGTACTAACTGGATGTACCTATCAAAATTCCAAGAATTACGGAAGTTATAAGAAAAAACACGAATTGCGGGGGAGTGGAGGGGTGCATCAGAAAAAAAACACAAACTCGTCCTTTCTCGGACTTAGGAAAACCTGGATACCAAATTTGGTTATTCTAGCTCTTATACTTTCTGAGATCCTTGCGTTCATACAGACGGACGGACGGACGGACAGACGGACATGGCTATATCGACTCGTGTTCTTATCCTGATCAAGAATATATATACTTTGTGGGGTCTGCCACGCCTCCTTCTGTGAACGCAAGGATCTCAAAAACTATAAAAGCTGGAATAACCAAAGTTAGCTCTCCTAGGTCCGAGAAAGGACGATTTTGTTTTATTTATTTTTTTAATTTTCCCCCGCTACAGAATTTCGTCAATACTGTCCACAAAGTTATATAAACCAAACTTTCTATATACACCTAATTCGGTTTCTACTCGGTCTTTTTTTACACGGTTTTGATCTAACACGTTTTGAAAATTAAAACTGGTAGAGAAGCTAAATTCGGGTGTACCGACTTTGAAATACTCTGTACATATGTCTAAAAAAATTATAAAAATTTTAAAAATTTAAAAAATTAAAAAAAAATGATCGATTTGGGCAGCAAATATATTTATGGCTATAACTTCCTGTTAAATCGGTCGTTCACTAATTGGGGGTATTTGCAAAATTTGAGTTCGAAATTCCAAGATTTATGGGAGTTAGAGAAAATCAGGATTTGCTGTGGAGAGGGGGGAGGAAGGGAAATTCAAAAATACACATTTTCTGCGTATTCACATAAGACACCTTGTCAAGGGAGTAGGCAGCTTTTACCAAAGGGGGGGCCAAAAAATGAAAATTTTGATTAAATAATGCAAGATGCATTTAAAAAACAAGTAAAAAAAGCTAAAGTCGGGTGTCCCGACTTTGAAATACTCTGTACATATGTTTAGAATAATTATAGAAATTAAAACAAGTAGAGAATCTAAAGTCGGGTATCCCGACTTTGAAATACTCTGTACATATGTGTATGTCTCGTGTGCCTGAGCAAAGCAGTAACAACAACAATATCTGCGGGCACTACTTGGTCCTATGTACATATATGGCTATAACTTCCTGTTAAATCGGCCTATCATGATGAAACTTGGTATTTGGACTTATAATAACTAAATGGAGGTATTTGCCAGTTTGCAGTTTGAATTCGAAATTCCAAGAATTACGGGAGTTACGATTTGCGGGGGAAAGGGGGGAGGGAGGGAAATTTCAAAATACGCATTTTCTGCGTATTTACATAAAGCATCTGGGACTAAAATTTAGTGTCCCTAGGTCTTATAGTCTCCCAGATATAGGCGATTATACGAATGGAAAATCGGGGAAACCCCATAGGAGGGAAGTGGGTGCATCAAAAAAATAAAATTTGGTGTCTCTAGCTCCTATGGTCTCTGAGCTCCAGGTGTTCATACAAACAGACGGACCGACAGACAGACAAAGATCGACTCGTCTTGTGATGCTGATCAAGAATATATACGATCCCCGACCACTATTAATTCGTACGGCATGCTTTTTTACCCGTATGCAATGTTCAATAGACGATATTTTCAATACTAATGAAGATAACACATGCAAACATATTTTCTTCTGAAATATCATTTTATTCTCTTAACTTTAGAAAAAAAACTTTTGTTGTACAACAACAACTAGATCTCATATTTTGATCCCAGATACCTTATATAAGTACAAAATACACTTCCCCGCTATCAGTGATTTTTCAAAACTCAATGTCTTGGAATTTTTAGCTAGAATTTGGTAAGTGGTTATGTGTCTTTACATAAAGTTTCATCATGATAGATCAGTTATGAAGAAAGTTATGAAGTTATAAAAAGTTATAAGTGTAATCTGTCCCCCAGCTCTGTCCGTAGCTGTTGTTGTTGCTGCTGCATTGCCTAAAGTCAGAAATAAATTCTTTTGGCTGATTACAATTTGGCCCACCTTTTATAAAAACAATTTTACGGCTTTTGGTATCACTTTTTCAAATATAGTTAATACTTATCTTTCTGAGTCATGAATGAATAAAAGATACATTAAAAAACGTAAATAATTTAAAATTTGTTGTTTTTTTATTTTCAGCTTAAATTATAATATCTTAATCACTGTCTTCCATCGGTATATTATCTAAATGAACAATAATATTTAAGTAGTAATTTTCTACTGGATTAAATACGACCTACACCTACCAATCTTGTTAATATATAGTATATACAGAAAAGGTACACATTTTGGCAACTAACAATTTATATTCTCGTAGCTCTCGCTCACCGCAGCAGATCGCCCAAAGCAGAAATATAAGTTTGAGCCATTTGCAGTGTTTCATGTTTGGAGAGCTGACGATCTTGGCCCAGGCACGGAAGATATTGACGTAGTCTATCGAATGCCTGGTTCAAATTCTGCATTCTTCGGCGCTCTCTGGCATTGGCAGCTAAGCGGCGCTTTCGCTTAACTACTGGCGAGATCTGCTTGTTACGTCGCTTCTTGCCCTGGGCAGGCGTCGCACCATCCTGAGCCGCCAAGGCAGCATCCTCGCTATCATTCTCCCCCAGCTCGAAGGAGCCATCATTGCCATCGAAGTCCTCGCCGCCACTGCCAAAAAGCAACATGTCGTCCTCATCGTCGACACTGTCATCAAATAGCGCTGCATTGTCAAAGTCAAAGGCCTGAAAGTCATCTGTATATACATTGACTGGAGCAGGTGGAGCGGGCGCTGAACTAGTAGGCATTGTGGATGAGGAGGGGGCAGCTGCTGCTTCTGTATCTTGGTGCTTACGTGTGTAGTTGCGTTTCGGCTTTGGCGCGGGAGCTGTCGCCGATGTCGTAGATATTTTTGCTGTTGCGGTTGCTGTTGTTGTTTCTCCAATTGGCGTTGTTAATGTCTTGCAGGTACCTGCATTTGGTGAACCCAGAACTGGTAACGCTGGTGGTTGAGAGGATGCAATCTGCTCCAGAGGCAGTCCAAATTGCTGTTGTTGACCCTGCCCCAAACTGTTGCAGCCGTTTGTATAAATGGTGTTCAGGTCCACATATTCGGGGCTCTCCGAGCGATAGCTGGCCGGGGACGAGGTAATCCAACCATCTGAAGAGGCCTGCTCAAAGCTAATAAATCCATTGGAGGACAAATAATTGCTGGAGTTGGCCAGTGAGGTACAATTAAACTGATAATGCGTCATGGTGGGGTTATACGCAGCCATCGGGTTGAAGTAGGGCTCTGACGCGTTGGCTTTGAAGCCTTGCAAGTCTTCCGAGGTCTTGTAGTAGTATCGGTAAATTTCACTAGACGACATGCTGCTTCGGTTTCGGCTTCGTTGAAATAAAAACTGTGCGTTCGCTCGGGCTGCCAACTAGTATCTGACTGAATACTTGTCCTGTCGTGCTATTTATACGCGCGCAGGCAGACAACAATGAAACCTACCACAGCAGGTAAGGGACAGGTAAGAAGCCGGCGATGTTGCCGGTGGTTGTTGCAAACAAGTTGCCTGTCTAGACGTCTGCCTGTTGGTTGGCCTGCTGGCCTGCAGCACGTGCTCACAATCACTCACAGTCGGCACACACTCCACTCATCTACAGCCGGCCAATGGGGGACGGTGGTGAGTTTAAAGTATCCGTCTTGGGAAGCTTAAAAGTGCACGCTTAAAAAATGGCTGCGATGCTGCGAATTGCTCAGCTATCGGTAGGCCACATCTCGACTGAGTTCTACTTAATAGTAAAGTCGACCCGTGGCTATCAGCACCTATCTAAAGCCACTAACAAGATAATTATAGGGTTGGGTAAACCGGAACAATGGCGGAAATACAAACAAAACCCAAGCGCCGCCAATCTGCGTAGTGCAATCGAAGGAGTAACACATTTATTCAAAACAAAGTACTGCGAAATTTGCAAAAATCCAACCGCAAGCCACTACAATCCTAGTTATGACAGTTGGCTGTAGGCAGAAATGTTTACCGAAGATCTAAGGCGGCGTGACAAAGTAAGGCACTCGAATTGTCAGCACCGAAATGGCAAACTATCTTAAGTATCTTATCTAAATCGGGAGACAGCATGAAACAAACAGAACGAGTAACAAGCAACGGACATGGACTCACCGTTGACCGCAGGTATACCCAACTCCGGTCTGACCCTCACAAATTTGCCGCCGACAGGCGATTCGCCATGCTCATTACCCATACCTACCCATAAAAATATCGTAATGAAAAATCTTGTTTATTACAACTTGGCAAATTTTCCCAAATGATACGCTGGTTCGGAAACCTTCCCTCTTTCGGCTCTTTCTTATTAGGTGGCGTCAAGCACACAATTGACCGCTCTCCGTCCGATCAAAGGACTGGCTGGTCATCTCTGTAATCCAGTCCGCCTACCTTCTATTTCGCTTGCCTAATAAGCGTGCGCGGGCTAACTAACCTGAATAGTTGAGCGTGTGTTTTACTGCACGCAGTAAATACACTGAGATCATAAATTTAATGTTTGATACTTAATATTACATTTGGAAGCGAACATTGCAAGTGTTATGTTTATTCACTTAAAAATTGTCAAAAAAAATTACAACTATCCATTATTAAATGAAAGAGGGATAGCAAAAAAAGTAAAAGGAGACAAAATAAATAAATTAAGAAATACCAGTACAATTTAAGAACCGGTACATTCAACAAAAAATGTCATTAATATTTTATAAGAATTTTAGGATCTAAAAGAAGAAATATGTATCTTTCGATCCAAGTGTTTCGTTTTCAATCGAAAGCATTTTCTTTTATAAAATTTTATATTTAAATAACACTAGTTGCTGGCCGATCTTTCTCCGTGTATAAAGGGGGAGTATTATAAAATATATTTAGTCACTCGCTACTCACTCTTTCACATGCATGACGAGGCAAAATTCTCGTACACGGTGGTCCTGTGAGCACGCCCTTTTGTCTAATGATTCCTAAGAAATCGCAGCGCGCTCGCATTTCATATCGAGCTTCTATTGCTTGCCGCAATCTTTGATGTGCCGCGCCCACCTACCACAAGCAGTAGCACGCCCCACGATGCCTTCAGCGCACACACTTTTTGCAAAACAATGTAACGGCTGCACAAGTCTATATCTTCCTGCGCATCTACCGAGGACACACTGGGCAATAAAACGCTGTCAATTAGATAAAAATGTCACACAACAAACGGAACGCGGAGCAGGCAATCGAATTTATTGGTTACACTTGTTCGAGGGATGTTGTGGCTCCTTCTTGTGCAATTGTGACAGTTGCACAAGTGACGCCTTCGGTTACACCTGCAGGACCTGCACAACCACTCGATCGTATCGCCTATGTTGTTTTTTTTATTGCAATGGCTATCGGCATTAGTTGATGCCGAAGTATCTGCAGCATATCGATTTTAATTTTACTTAAATTTACATTTTAAATGCCTCACATTGCTCTACCCGCTGTAAGCTGCAACAAAGGCATGCGAAGGGAAGGAGCAGCGGAGCAATTTTTTCCCGACCTCAAGAGCGCCTTGCGTGCCTGTCAGTTATTGTTATTGTTATATTGTTTGCTGCAAGCTACCAATGAGCAATGCGGCATATACTACCAAATGGATCATGGCAATGGGTCATTTTCGTGCTCGTACGACACAGACAGAGCAGAATCGACAGCTTGTTACGACCACAATCATATCAACATTCATAAGAAAGTACTTATGTATGGTTTTACACACCCTGTCGGGAATGTTCTTTAATCTTCCTAAGTTTCTCTTTTGGATTTTTTTATGTAGGCTACTTTGAAGGTTCACCCCTTCCTGAAATTATTATATACTTTTGTGGACTATGACTTGTAAATTAGACGCAATTTAAGTGAGAAACTACTTCAATTTGCCGATGAGAGAAACCTCAATATTTTCAATTAAAACCGATTTAACTGTAGTCTCGGAATAAATCAAAAGAATCCAAGAAATTCAAACGCCATTTCCTATACAAATATTCACTATTTCTTTAAAATATTTTATCTTATATACTTTCCGTAATGTCGATCTGATCTGAATTTGGCATAATATATTGGGATCGACTCAAGTTTGAGGTCATTGTGAAAAGCTTCGATTTTGTTTGAGCTCGAACGGTCCGTGCAAAATGTTGACATAATTAGCAATACACTTTTGAGCCAGTGCTTAAAAACACTTTTTAAGCTTTAAATGTAGCCTGCGACTGCGTTCTTATCAATATACAGAATACATTCTGTTTTTTACCCTTTACCTACCGTGAGTTAATAATGCTTAAAGCTCCCTTTCAGATCGAGCTACGAGTAAAGCACGGAAATTCGTTCCGTTTGCAATCGGTGTGGTTTGAGAGCAGCGTGCCCAATTTCATATGAAAATCGATGTGACCTGGTGGAGGTAGCTCTTCTCTCAAAATACTTGTACTACGCGTGTAGAAGCTGGAAAAAAGTAGGCACACGTCAGCGAGTCCTATTAGCAAGTCCCTCTGGGCCGTGAAAGTGTTGTCGGCCAGACGCTGCAGCATTTTTGCTGCTGTAGCCCAGTTTTTTGACTTGAGCAGTGCGTAGCATAATTGAAAAATTTGTATGTTACTTATTTTATTAGCACTTAACACTACACCCTCAAGCATTTAAGCCAATTACGTCAGGCACTTTGCAAAATGAAAGGAAAAGCGAAAACATGCCTGCTGCATGTCAGTTGCATGTGGGTGGCCGAACGATCCCTCCTGCTCTTCGGCATGCGACTTTGGGCGCTTATTAAATTTAAAATTCATTAAAGGCAAATTTAATATGGAATTATAAAAAGGAGTCGCAAGGAATCAACAGCGGCACAGCATTGCAACAATGGATGCCACAGTACGCGTCGACTATTTGACTTGGACTGTTTGATGTGCAAATATTGACGGCACTCGTTGAAGAGCAAAAAATGGAAATAAAATACAATTGCTGGTCAGTCGGGGTAGCAGGAGAGGCGGCAAAAAATTCAAATGAAAATCAAAGCAAATACGGGTGTGTGCATTTACACTTACCAGCAGAGGTCTGCGTAAAATGTTCACCAGCTATTCGAAGTAGGTACGAAGATTAAAGCTAGCTAGGAAAGCCCTTGCGACATAGCCTGATGCCCACAATGAACGCCTGCTTATGCGAAAGTGATTGTCACTTAGTTAAGAATCGCTGTTGCGACGATGCTAATCACGGATACGGAAATTCATTTATTTTAATAAAAATAAAACAAGAAAGGAATGCTAAAGTCGAGCAGGCTCAACTCTTAAATACCCTGTACCACCCCACAAAAAAGTAATTTAATTAATTAATTAATTTAATTTAATTAATTAACTAAATTAATTTAATTAATTAACTAAATATTAACTAATTAAATATAAAATATTCCATGCATGCATACATACATTTACATCAGAATCGTGCCTTATGCGTGTTTGTGTACTTGTACATATGTATGTATGTGTGCATTGGGCCTGGTTATATGGCTATAACTTTCTTTTCGATCATTCTATCATAATGAAACTTGGTATACGGATATATAATTACTAACCTAATGTGACTACCAAAAGTTCAAAATTCCAAGAATTACGGGAGTTATAGAAAATTGGTAATAGGGGGGGAGTGGGGGGTTGGATCAGAAAAAATGAACAAACTCGTCCTTTCTCGGTCTCAGGAGAATCTGTATACCACGTTTGGTTATTCTAGCTCTTATACTTTCGGAGATCCTTGCGTTCATACAGACAGACAGACGGACAGACGGGCAGACAGACGGTCAGACGGACAGACGGTCAGACGGACAGACGGACATGGCTATATCGACTCGGCTTGTCATGCTGATCAAGAATATATATACTTTGTGGGGTCTACCAAGCCTCCTTCTGTGTGTTCCATGTGCACTCGCACAAAACTAATATACCCTTGTACCCTTTGGGTACAGGGTATAAAAAAACAAAAACGAAAATGAAACAAGAAAGGAATGCTTAAGTCGAGCAGGCTCAACTCTTAAATACCCCGTACCACCCCACAAAAAAATAAATTTAATTTAATAAATTTAATTGCAATTGGTGGATGAGAAAAAATGAACAAACTCGTTCTTTTTCGGGCTCAGGAGAATCTAGATACCAAGTTTGGTTATTCTAGCTCTTATACTTTCTGAGATCCTTCGTTCACACAGACAGACGAACAGGCGGACATGGCTATATCGGCTCGGCATACTTTTTGGGGTCTGCTACGCCTCCTTCTGTGTGTTCCATGTACACTCGCACAAAACTAATATACCCTTTTTTTAATATGGCTATTAATAAATTGCTCACGAGCATGCA